TTTCGATTCCTAGTTTCGATTCCTAGAATGCTGACCGGAAAAGGAATCCACAGCCGATCTCCGTGGAAAAATAAGCGTAATCTGCAAATTGTGATCAATGCTTTTCAGAGCTGATCGCACCAGCACTAAGTCCCCCCTCCCCCCACCTGGCGCACAGCGGCCAAATATAAACAAACGTGTCTGCCGAACTTTTACTTCGTAACGTAAACTTTAATTCCTGCAGCATAGAGGAAATTAGTTAAAATACGTCGACACGGTGGATTTAATAGAAGCTTAAAGAACAAACTCTGGACGGTGTCAGACGCAGACGCTCACCAACACGTGTGTGTGTGTGTGTGTGTGTGTGTGTGTGTGTGTGTGTGTGTGTGTGTGTGTGTGTGTGTGTGTGTGTGTGTGTGTGTGTGTGTGTGTGTGAGCGTCAGAAGGCTGAACAATAACCTGTAGAATAATTAAAGTCATCATGCTAGAGCAGCTTTCTCTGTGGTGGACCACACCAGCTTCTGCCACAATAAATAATTATAATAATAATAAATCACACACAAAGTTGTGAACATTTTAATTTCCTTTCTGAACTATTTCTGTTGAGAGTTTTAATGTTTAAAATCTGTTAAATTGTTAGTGACAGCAGCTACATTAAAGTTTCACTTTCTGTTCTGGCTGAATGCTGCTGCAACATGGAGGTGTAGTTCTCAGTCATCCTGGACATGATCATCTTGAGAGTTTTAGCTGAAAACAGCTGGATGTTTCTACAATACAACAACAATACAAAAATACTTTATTAATCCCAGTGGTAAATTAAGAGTTTCAGTACACACAATTCTGAGATCAGACATACAAACATACATACACACACATGACAAGAATTGGTGACTGTGGACATTTGCAACCCGAGTTGCGCTACTGTAATAGATCAAGAGGGTTTATACGAGGATAGAGTCGGGGGGGGCACTTCAGAGTTACCCTCACCAGAGAGGGTAGCTTGGCTATGCAAAAAAAAAAAAAAAACCTCAGACAGATATGCTCACAGTCTTCAGACATTACACAACATAAGTGTCCACTAGGTGGGGAGGTAGGGTTGGGACTCTCCTCACTTCGGTGCATGCAGCCACATGGAGCAGCGCTTATCACCTCCATTTGGACAGGGAAGAGCGATAATGGGCTAGAGGGCACATTGACTCCTAGATACGGTTCCACTGCCTTCACCGGTCACAGTCCCGCCCAGGCTGGGATAGGGAAAAGAGCTACCATAGCGACAGCCACATTCCACATTTCTTCTGAGGGGGAGTTTTCACTTTAGCTTCACAGGCTTCAAAGGCACCTGATTCAGATAAGGATTGTTTTGGGGCAGACAGGGATAATTTCCTCTCTGCGTTAGAGTTATGTTGGTCATCAACCCATCTAGATCCAATAATGGTGCAATAAATCTATCCCAATCCATGCTGATCCATCCACAACTCTCTCCTTGATGGAATCCACCTTCTGGGTCAGAGTCTGAATCTCAGCCAAAGTTCCAAGCTTACGACTCATCTCGACAATTATATGAGTTTGTGCATTCCATCCCTGAGCTCCGGGATTGAGCCAATATTCCTCGAAAGCTTGTTACTTTTCCGGTAAGCCAGGCAACCGCTCAGGCCAAACAGCAGGAATCCCGACGCCAAAACCATGAATATCCAGACTTCTTCAGAATGCTCTACAGACAGTTGAGAGAGGCATATCAGGTTCCACTGTTTCCAGGAGTCCATGATATACCCAGCTGGCTCTGTCCCAGAGGGTCATCTGGGAGCCCCTTCTCCCATTCTCATCATTGAAAAAATTTAGTCAATCGCGTTGAGAGACCAACTGACCAGATCCATTTTAATACCATAATTTCCAGACTATAGAGTGCACCTCAATATAAGCCGCACCTACTAAGTTTAAAAAAAAAACATGGAACTGTACTTATATAAGCCGCACCGGGCTAAAAGCCGCAGATATCTACCGGATATCTACTGAATTGAAAATGTAGTTTAACTGAACGTAACTGAACTGATCAGCATCAAACCAAACAGAAAAGTTATTGACTAGTTTATTCATCATCCTTCTGCGCACTGAAACCACTGAAGTCCTCTTCTTCAGTGTCGGAGTTGAACAGCCTCAGAAGAGCTTCGTCACATACGTTTTCAGTGGCGATGTCAGTGTCGCTGTCCATGTTGCTGTCATCATCCCGGGGAGAAGAGGCTGGCTTGAATGAGTTCTTCCCGCTGCCGTCTCCAGCGCTGAACCATGGATTAATTCATGCCAAGCTTACGTGCGGCAGCACTGTTTCCCTCCTTTACTGCCAGATTGATGGCCTTCAACTTAAATGCGGCATCATATGAACTCATACGTGTAGTTTCCATGATGAAGGGGTATGGACTTGAAAAAAATTCTTCGTCGTGCCGGCTGCTTGCATGTGCTAAATTAAAATGAGCACTTTCTTCGATTTCCACTTTTGAATTCCACCTGTTTCACTTTCTGCTAAAGCGCCCCCTGGCAGGTGAAGGAAAAGCTTCAGTAAAGCCGCACCTCATTATAAGCCGCGTGGTTCAAAGCGTGGGAAAAAACGTAGCGGCTTATAATCCGGAAAATACGGTAATTTCCAGTTTCCAGAAAAAATGCAGAAAGCGCCGTGCACAAGACAGGACAAAAAGCCTTGGGATAAGAGAGGGAGGGAGAGGAGAAAAAAGTGTTTGTACTCTCCAAGAGCCGGAAGAAGAAGAGTACAGTACAAATTCTGGATATGTTGGAGACATTTAGCCTCTCATCCCAGAGGCTTCTTCCAGACTTTGGTTGTGGCCAGAAACAAACACACTGGTTGTGCTGCAAGTCTTCTTCTTTTTTTTCTCCAACACATGTTTTAGTCTAAATGAAGGTGATGTTATTGTTCATAGAATTAAAATTCATGTTGACGTTAAGATTATTTCATCAAGTAGGACCTGTGGTTAGCTGGCTCATGTAAAATATGTAATGTCTTGAAAGAATCGGAATTGGGAATTGATAGGAACTGGAATCAAAATGAGGAATTGGAATCGGAATCTTTCAAAATCAAACGATGCCCAACCCTATTCTTAATATTCTCTGAGGTGGGACAGTTTGAGCTAGTTTGGGAACAGTGTCTGAACAGTAACCCTTTTTTGGTCACTCTCATAGTGACCAAGGTAGGGGTGGGTGCAATTAATCGATGTGGTGATGCATTCGAAAGCTTAACATGTTGTTTCGGCATCGATTAATGAACGTCGATGGTTAAAAAAACATAACATCAAAGTTTTGTTGCGAAGCCGGAACTAAAAAAATAAAAACACGTAACCGGAGCCTTAACGCGCCGCCCAGACTGTTTAGTGAGTGGCACTACCTCTTTGACCTCTTTCTCCATCCTGGAGATTGTCTCCAAACTACCGAAGAACTCAGAGAAGGCGAGAAGCATTACAAAAGCAATAGCTACTTTTATCGCGACGGATCTACGCCAGTATACAGTAGTAAACAACAGGGGGTTTCAGTTAGTGGTGCACACCATGGAGCCGCGCTATAAACTTCCTCACTGAAAACACTTTGCAGAAAAAGAAGTCCCCCACCTCTATGAGGAAACCAAAGCAAGCGTTCTGGAGTCCATGAAGAAGGCTACCGGGCTAGCGCTCACATGTGATGCGTGGACATAGTTGCCACCAAATCCTTCGTTACTGTAACAGCGCATTTTGTTCTCGCGTCCGACAAGAACGGGTGGAAGTTGGTGAGTCACGTTCTTCAAACTCGAGAGATGAGTGAGAGTCAAAGTAGCACAATGTTGGCATTTGCCCATCTCACACAACAGGAGGATGTAGGGGGACAAGAGGGAGTGGAGGGAGTATGGGAGGACAGTTAAGTTTAAGATGAGTATGAGTGTCACTCTGCTCTATTTTGTTGTGTTCGCCTCACTGTACTGAAGCTCCAGGCTGAATATATGTTCAGTTGAATTATGCACTTTTGTTCTGAAAAAATGCAACATATTACCTTCAAATATAGCAGTTTTTTCTGTTACCTATATTCCAGACTGAATAAGCTGAATTATTTTATTTTGAGGAATGCACTTTTGATCTGTATGGCAGCTTTTTTGTAATGTTATCATATGCCAGACTCATTAAGTTTCCATTAAATAAATTTGATGGAAGTAAAAATCTTTTTTACTTGAATTAATTACCTCATTAAATCCAGGGCTTGCCTGTTTTCAGTGTTTCCCAACAATGGAGGGGACACTAATGTAAGTAAAGCTTTCCCTGATCGAAGTTAAGTTGGTCAAAGTGCAAATATTTACACGTCATACAGTCATAAATAAGAATTTGTCTTTGAAAAATAGTTAAATGCTAAAAAATGTATTTACTTACAGAGAGTTGTTTTAGAGGAACTGAATTAATTGATAAGTTATTTATTTACAAATGTAGATAAAGAAGAAGACAATCTTGTATGAAAAAAAACATTAAAAATGTCAATAATCGAAGAATCGTGGCACCAGTAATCGAATCGAACCAAAAATCATTATAATTGAAGAATCGAAGTACCGAAGCTCCCATAATCAAAATTGAATCGAATCATGAAGTACCCTTTTTGGAACACCCCTAGTGGGTAGGGAGTCATTTGACAGCACACTCGGGTGCCCAACAAGCTGCCATCCTCTCAAATGGAAACTCGCCGTTATCGGTGCGCATATGAAAATAAATTCATTATGTTTAAGACTCGCCATGACTGGAAACATCAAGATGTCGTCACACAGAACTACTCTTATTATTTACTTCACCACAGCATGGACATTCCTGTCAGTTTTATGTGATAAAGTATCTGAGGTTTGGTTGGAATATCTCTTCACAAGAACCGTCAAAGACTCCAGTGACACTTTCTTTTAGACTCCCAATAGCTGGAAGTTACTCCGGTTCCGCCAGAAGCTTAAGAATCCAATACAAACCTAGCTTTGACAGCGTGGCGTTCCAGTCGACAGCTCACTTCATACTTACAGCTGTACTTGACAACCCAGCAGCCAGCAAGAAGACCCAGGAGGGCGGAGTAGGTGGTGGGCATTTGTCCTTCTGGTGTGATAACATGGCTCACTGAGGAGAAAACCCAACACGCAAAAAGAAATTGAAGAGATGAGAGCTAAAGATGCAAGCTACAAATACTTAAATAAATAATCCCTGTAGCTGCTCTTACAAATCTTTTAAAGTTAGCTTTAATTGCATCAGTTAGTTGCATGAATTGCATACATTCTAGAACAACACACTTGATGTTTTCCCCTATTTTATTCTCAGCATGTATTTTCTTTGTCTGTGTAAATTGCTAATGTGCCTCCCTTTGAGTAAGCGTCCAGGTAAACTAGCAGTAAGCCTGTCAAACAATCTCGTCTCAACGAAACAAAAGACCGAGAAGCAGCTTCTGCCATAAAAGGCTGGGGAGCATAATTATAGGTTAATTAAAATTTAAATACAAGCTTATTGCCTCCTCATTCAACGTGTGAGCACAGTTGACAAGTGCGAAATGAACGTAATTATATCTCCAGGGTAAAACCGTCTTACATTTTGCATTGACACACTGAATTTTTAGGTTTCTGTGCAAAATGCTATAAAAAAGGTGAAACGACCAACATTCAACCCTGCAGCCAAAGAAAACGGTAAGAAGCACTTGTGCTTTTCATTTGTATGTATTCATCACTCTCACAGTAACTCCAAACATTTTATGAGCAATGATTTAAATTACTTTTGTTCTCTGGAGTTCATCCAGCCATTACTATGCAAGTGAAGAGGCTGCTGCATCATAATGATGTATACACCTCTAAATGCACTTGTCTGCTGCTGCTGAACCTTTGTGAGCGATAATGTGCCGCGGCAAACTGCTGGCTTTTTACAGTACAAATGCATCTGTGTTACTTAGTAAACTCTGCAAAGCACAACTGTGTTGAGGGAGAAGTAATATTTGAGATACAAATCCTATGTCTAAACTGGAAGAAAAATCCTCACAACAAACATTGAGGCTAGCTAACAGAATCCTTTAGGCAGCCGAGCCTAAATTCACTTCTATACGCCATTTTTGACATGTAGATCCTGTTCATCTGTGGTGTTTGTTTAAAAAAAAAAACACCAAAAAGTTTTTTTCCAAAAGCATGAAAACACAGGTCTTAAAGCTTGGTTTATGCTTGACGCGTTTACGTTCCGCTTGGTGATGCGGCTCGCGGATGGAACGCGCTTCACAACTCGCAGCGTTTATGGTTCGTGCGGCTCGTCTCTGCCGTGAGCCAATATTCTCCCAAACTGAACGGGGCAGCATGGAGCTCTACGGCACGCATCCAACACTACACCATAGTAGGAGTGGAAATTACGGTTTACAACATGGCATTCCAGCAGTTTTTAACAGCGTCCTCGTCTTTTCCGACAGTGCGAGCTATTTCTCTCCAAGAATTATTAACAACATGTTGATCACGGTGATCTCTGAGAGCTGAATCATACAAATGTCTGTATTTACGAACCTCTGCCATACTAGTTCTTGCCGGTCCGCCATGTTTTTCCACGTCCGACCATCCGAGTGGTTAGAAATTTTCCTAGGTGCGCGTTGCGGAAATTTTGGGCCGTGCGGAGGCGCGGTGGAGGGGCGTGGTTGTTAAAATGACACAATTTCGCCGCGCGGACCTCGTGGACGCGTCAAGCATAAACCAACCTTAAGACCTATCGGAGTCATGCAGAAGCTACCTGAGCTTGAAAAGGTGTCCGCCATCCTCCCTCCCAGTAGCATTCCTAGTTTGGCCAGCTGATGCTCCTGGGACGGTGACAGCTTGGTGGCCAAAAACATCAAAGACTGATCCTTCTTCACACATTCGCTCACCTAAGACAGGATGTAAATGAAAGAAGAATAAAACACAGACTTTTTAGACATTTCCTACAATAAAATGAGCACGTTAGGGTTGCCAATTTCAAGGCAAAGAAAGAAGAAAAAATATTCAGTACGTTATGAAGACATACCGCTGAGAGATTGGCTGAAGGGCTAGAAGATGTAGGCGAATTAGCATACTGGGTTCCTTTTGCAGCTTCTTGGAAAATCTCCAGCATCTCCTGGCTTGATGCATAATCTGCTGGCCGCTTTCCATGCAGATTACTGTGAGGGGGAAAATTCCACAGATGAAGTGTGGCGGTTTTAGAGGAATGTCATTTTTTTTGTGTTTATAAATTTGCAGCAAGACAACCCATCTGATGATGGCTAAAAAAACACCGTAAAGCTAAACTAAAATGTATCAAGGTCAAGGTAACTTTATTAGTACCAGAAGGTAAATTTGATTTGCCATGTGACATGAGAATTAGCGCCCAGTTACACACACACTCACAAAATATACACACATCCATAAAAATACAAAAAGTATAAAAACAATACATGAATAAATAGAGATAAAATCAAGTAAAGTAGCCACGCCAGACTAATTTCTTATTGAGAATTGTTACTGCCTCAGGAATAAAGCTCCTTTTATACCTGTATCTCTAGTGTTGAGTTTTGAAGACATTTATTAGAATGAATGAGTTTGTAAAAATGTGTCACTCTTTCTTAAACTCATCTCAAAAATCCTTTTTCACCCCCTACTTCACACTGGAATGGCAGCGGAATGTCAATACTTCAAACTGAATCCATTAAAGCCTATGGGATGATTCAAACTAGCCGCAACGCGGACATTCTCAGGCAGGTCCTGGAAGCGGCACGCCGCACTGCTAAAGATAGGATTGGGTTCAAATTTTGCCCGCGAGCCGATTCTGGGACACATCAATTTCCGCACGCATCATAGGGCTAGACAGGAAATCACACACGGATTCGGTGTGAAATCAATGCAGATTGCATCAATACGTGTGACCTAACAGCTTATTTACATCTACATGTCAATCTTTTCCTGAAATCATTCAGCCCTAGATGCTTGGTCTATCCTCACACATGAGGCCCATCTACTATGCCGAATACTTTAAATCTGAGGTTTTCTGTTAACATAAAGAGGACACATTTCTGCAGATGGCTGCTAAAACACATAGAATTCCACTGATATTAAATTCAAATACATATGTTTAATTTCTTTGCTCTTCTGTCTGGTGTTTTAGTTCGACACAAATGTTACAAAAATTAAAAGTTATCTTAGGTTAGCTCTCATTTATAAGACAGCTGCTGAAAGCGTCCGGTGTGTAGATCAATTAAATGCTCAGAAGAGGAACTCATGACCTGCAGGCTGCTGCAGATCAGAGACCGTGTCATTGACTTATGCAAACATTCAGACAGTTTGTGTTTTTCAGGAAGTTTCTTTTATTTTGGCAACTAAAGAGAGGATGCAGGTTGGTCAATATGTCCGAGGATTTAAAGTTATTCGTCGGACAACATTAAAACACTTTGTTAATGTCTGACTGTCTGGCATGTTTTCACAAATTGGTTTAGAAAAGAAGAGAAGTTGCATTTTAAAGTTCACTTGGTGGACTTGAAAATGCAACTGAATGTAAATCCCATTCAGCTGCTGGAGAATCAGCCTCTCTCTGTCACTCACCCACGGTGCTGAGAGATAAACCTAACATTCGCGGCAGAAACAGACGCTCACGTTTAATATGAGCTGTAGAGCATTTAATATCAGCAGTAGTAGCAGAGCTATGTAAGGGGGCAAAAAAAAAAAAAAAAAACGGGAAAATAACGAAAATGTGTAACTCTTTCAGCTGGGCTCAGCTCCAGAACCGGTATCATCCCCCCCCCCCCCCCCCCCCCCTCCCCCCCCCCTCGCACTCTCCGCTGTCACCGTAACACATGAGAAAACCCAGGATAGGATAGGGTAGAATAGGGTAGGGTAGGGTAGGGTAGGGTAGGGTAGGGTAGGGTAGAATAGAATAGCCTTTATTGTCATTATACAGGGTACAGTGAAATTGGAGTGCCACTCCCTTTGGTCCAAAAAGAGTACAAGAAAACAATACAGAAATAATATAAATGTAGAATCAACAGTAATATTTACGAATATAAACACAGAGTAGCAGCATTACTTGGGTTCTGTGCAGGTCACTTTTGTAAGCTGAATTTTAGCATATTGAGTAATACAAATAGCACATATAAATGTTATTGCACATGATCAATATTGAAATGTGCGGCTCGGTAAACAGTTAGTGTGCAGTTCGGGTTTACAGGATCATTTGGTTTTGGGGTTGTTTACTACGGTGATAGCTCTGGGAAAGAAGCTATCCCTGAATTTATTTGTCCTGGTTTTATGTGACCTGTTACCAGCGGCCTGACGGTAGCAGGTCACACAGATGGTTACTGGGGTGACAGTAGTCCTTGACAATATTGGCTGCTCTACTGAGGTAGCGAGAGTTGGCAATGTCTTCCAGGCTGGGCAGAGAGCAGCCAGTGAAATTCTGGGCTGTGCTGATGACCCCTCTGCAGTACTTTCCAATCTGCAGCTGAGCACCCCGCATACCATGTTGTGATGCCGTACGCTAGGATACTCTCTATGGTGGCTCTGTAGAATGTGACTAGCAGCCTCTCCTCCAGGTTGTTCCTCCTCCTGAGCACTACTGAGCAGCCTTTTTACCACTGTTGTGGTATTTGCAGACCAGGAGAGATCATCAGAGATCTGCACGTCCAGAAACCTCATGGAGTGTACCTTTCCATACAGTCCCTGTGAATGTAAAGTGGGGCCAGGTCAGCTCTGCCCTTCCTGAAATCCAAGATACGTTATTTGGTTATTGTGGTGTTCAGTTGGAGGTTGTTTACTGAACACCACATGGCCAGTTTACCTCCTCTCTGTAGTCCGACTCACCCCCCTTGAGATGAGTCCAGTCACAGTGGTGTCATCCACAAATTGTATGATAGTGTTTGAGAAATGGGTCAGAGAGCAGTCGGATGTGTAAACAGGAGGGGACTCAGAACACAACCCTGTGGAGAGCCGGTGCGGAGTGTGATGGTGTTTGACAGATGGGGCCCCGAGTCTGACAGGCTGTGGCCTATTTGTCAGGAAGTCCTTAATCCAGAGGCAGATGAGGTGAAGAGTCCCAGGTGAGACAGTTTCTTGACCAGGACCTCTGGGATGATGTAATTGAATGCTGAGCTGAAGTCCAGGAAGAGCATTAACATAGCTTTCTTGGTGCTCCAGATACAGTAACTAAGCGCAGAATGGAGCGCTATGGAGATGACGTCCTCGGTGGATCAATTTGCCATGTAGGCAAAATGGTGGGGTCCAGTGTGACAACAGATCCTGGGTCAGTCAGGAGCGGTACAAAAACCGAAGCTTTGACGATCTTGTGATCGTGTTTTTTGAAATTGCAATTTCAGTCTAAAAACGATAGATCATTCAGCCCTTCCACATACCCAGCAAAATAAGACATAAGCAGAACAAAGATTACCATATTTTCAAACCCGTTCTTGTTCTCAAACACACAGTATTTGAAAATCTTCACAAGAAAAAGTTAATGACTCTCAACATTCAATCACAATCCTTTTAAACCAGGGTTCCTTTTTATCTCGGGCCAAGCAGCTCTCTAAATTTCAATTTTTGTCATTTCTGTGCTCAGAGGGAAACAATCTGGTAATGTCACACCCTGCTCACTCTGTGAAACTGTGCATCCATGTGTGGCACTCACTTGTTGGAGCATAATTGTTTGATATGTGGGTGAGATGAAATGTACACTCTTCTCTTCATTCAGAGACAAGCATTCACCTCACAGAAGCAAAGAAATAAATACTACACAGAATTATATTAAATACCAGTGAAGTACCTCAATAAAACATTTATCCGTTTAAAAGATCTTGTTATTTTTTTGGGGACACAGAAGATCTTTTGACTCGATAATATATTAGATCTCTTTGTGGAGGAGGCTTTATGCTGTTTAAGGAGCTCGGAATAAAAATACAAACATCTCCTGGTTACATAAAAAAAGACATTGAAGAAAAGTTTGCAGAAGATGCTTGAAACAAGAGTGAGGTCACCTTGAGAAACAGCGAAGGAAACGAGGATGAAAAGCAAAAGAGGAGGAGAGGATAGGGGGAAAAAACCAAGCCTAGCAGGTTGTCTCTGAAAGATTAGGCGTCAGCAAAGATAACACCTGGGGGACAATTAATAGGTCCACTGGTCCATAAAATATTTCATTTGAATTCATACTCCCAGCTTAATTCGTGCACACAAACAAAAAACAAACAGAAAATGTCCCCGACATATGCACACGCACAACCTAGTTTATGCATGTGCGAAGAATATGTAAAGAAATTCTGAGGAGCTATGCAAGAAGTGGCAAACATTACAGGTGGCTAAGGATAAGCTGCACTGTAGCTTCATATTTTAGTGCTGTGACAGCTACCTAATGGGCAGAGGTGGAGCAGATAATGCTTTCAAATTCCCAAGAGGACAAATGCAAGGAATCTACAGAGGAGTGCACATGTAGAAAATGCAAATTAAGATGCGAGGATTGCTACACTCTGTCAGCACATTAATAAATATGAAAAGAAACGTAGAAATTCTATTTAAATAGCTTCTGACAGACAAACGAGAATGTGGGAAGGGAATGAATTTCAATCAGTAATTTTAAGTCTGTCTTTTATATTCTGTGAACTTTTTCTTATTAAAAATGTTTTTGCAATATGTCAAAAGCTACAACAAAAAATGAAGCACACAGAGGCCAAAGCTCGTCAGTCCTTGGACCTTGGTTTCAAAGTAAAACTGCAGCGCAGAGTGTTTGAATTGTCGGGCTGATTCGAGTAAGGGAGAAAAATGGCAGCAATTATCTGAAATTTATCTAATTCAGATCATTTTAAAGGGTCCCTTTGAAAATTTCCTGGGAAAAAAATCTAAGTTTCTAATGAAACAAATCTTACATACCAAAGACACAAACTGTTTGAAACCACAAGTTGGCTGAATACATTTCCTTTGCTATTAAAACAAAGATTTTTATGTATTAAATGAAAACATTGTTTTCTTGTTTGTCATCTTCTTCACTGATCGGTTAAACTACAGCAGTTCTTTGTATATACTACGCACCTGTAATTGGCTTAATGAAATGGTGGGAAACCATAGACAAGAATTAAATTACAACACCCACATGTTCAAACGAGTGCTCCCCGAGTTAAGCCCACAACGATAAATTTGTCAAAAAATAGCA